AAAATGCCAGCGCTGCTAAATCATACAAACCCACTGGCAGCCTGCATCCTTTGTAGTTTGTCTTTACCCTCTATGTACTTTAAGACAGTGGCTGTTTCTGTGCTGTAGGTCTCGCAATTCTTTAATGAAGATCAATTAGGTCCGTAACCGGATCTTAACCGTTATTCTGTTTGCAGGTTTTGTTGATGTTCAGTGATGATAGGAAAAAAGTTCCAGTTTCCAGGTAACACTTTCAGAGGCATTGCATTCAGCTGTTCTCCAGAAAAATTTCTGGGTTTACTTTACCCCAAGACCAAGACAAGACTAAGTCAAAATGATGTTAAGACCAAAACAAGACCAAGACTGTTAATTTGCAATCTTCAGACCAGACTTGAGTACTGCAGCGCTATGTAGTTCATTAAAACAAGCAGATTCTCCTGATTTGCATTGACCCTGTTGTCAAGAGATCAAACAATGGGTGATGCCACAGCCATCTATGGCCACGTAACAGAATTGTTTTTTTTTAATCTAATTCATTGTGTAATTAAGTCTTAAATTATGTAATTACGAGATGAGTAACAATACAATGTCTGTGTATTGCATTGTTGCGCAGGTATTGAACAGTATGTTCAACAGACTGGAGAAAAAAAATAGTGAGTTTAATATTGATTATGATTATTGTATGTTTAATTTGTCATTTGACATAATTACATAACTTGTATATTTATTAATAATAGTTACTAATTAATTTACAGTAGGTACTGAATACTGCATATTAAGCTCAATTATTCAATAAAAAGTCTGTAGTATAAGGGGTTTAAAAAGTTCTTTTTTTAAAAGATCTGAAGGACTAGAGGGTTTGACTAGAAGGGCACCAAAGAAAGAGAAAAACAGTCTGATTCCAGCATGTTCATATATGGGGCACTCCTACGCAGCTCTGTGAGGAAAGTTGTGTTTGGCCGCTCATGAATACTTTTTTGGGGGGAAAAACTCTTCTGAGCTATCCAGCAGAGATCCACGTTTGTGTTGTCCCTCAAACTCTCAACCTCTACACTGGACTTATATAACACTCGTAAACACGCTGCTGGGCTTTGTGCAAACATTCTGTGCTTGGAATCCTTAATGTGATGTCTAGTAGTTGATTAGGGATTCGTGTCAGCTATTTCATATGCATTTTCAAATTGAATTCATACAACACCATTCATTATATGATTCAAAAGACTACAAAAATGACCCTGTTTGGGGTTATATATTCTGAAATATACTACGGTAAAGCTATCACAAAAATGCTTTAAAGCATCACAGTTAGCTATGCTATTCAAGTCTGTAGTTTTCCTATTTATAGTGCCTTGTAGACTTACATAAGCCGCTATTAACAGCATGTCCAGACCATGAAAACAAGGCTGTAAAACTGCAATAACAAACAACACCATGCTTGTTTATAATCCTGTTTAGCATCTGTCTCTCATAATTTACTTTATATTGAAATAAATTTTGAGACGTGGTCTTTACAACTTAAAAAAAGCCCTTATACTTTCATAAGACGTGCTTTATGCACGCATTAGAGTCAGAATCACTTTATTTTACCAAGTATGTTACAAAAGCGAGTAATTTGTCTTAGTGAATGCACACATGTAACATACTAAACAGACCAGATAGGTGTACAAACTATTACATATGTTCAAAAGACAGTAACAAAATTTAAAGTAAAATTAGTTTAAATAGAATAAAGAATGAGACTAGACAAAAAGGGGCCAATGTAAAAGGAGCTACAAGAGGTGAATATGTGAGTATGTAGATAAATGCAGGGTCTGAGGAGATAACTATTACAGGATGATGTGGACATTTGTACAATTTTGCAAATAAACATTATGGTACAAAGGAGTTATTAACTTGATGCATTAAAGAAAATCCAACTTGATATTTTGCATCATTTTTTTCCTCTGTGAAAGCTATTTTAAATGAGCTGAAGCTATACTTCAATCCCTCTAAAAGGCCAGGAACAAACACTGGGTCCAGGCTTTTATTCTTCGCTCCTATAACCCTGTTTCCAAAAAAGTTGGGATGCTGTGCAAAATGTAGATAAAAAGAGAATGCAATAATGTGCAAAACATTTAAACCCTATATTTAGTTGGAAATAGAACAAAGACAACATATCAAATGAAACTGAGAAATTTCATTGTTTTTGAAAAATATATGCCCATTTTTAATTTGATGCCAGCAACACATTTCAAAAAAGTTGAGACAGGTACATGTTTACCACTGTGTTGCATCACCTCTTTTAACAACACTTTTTATGCATTTGCAAACTGAGGAGACCAATTGCTGAAGTTTTGAAAGTGAAATGTTTTCCCATTGTCACTTGACATAGAATTCAAGTTGCTCAACAGTTCGGGGTCTCCTTGTTCATATCTTTAGTTTCAGCATTGTGTTGCTGAAATAATCAAGGCCTTCTTTGAAAAAGCCATCATCTGGATGGCAGCATATGTTGCTCCAAAACCTGTATATATTATTTATCATTAATGATGCCTTCACAGATGTGCAAGTCACCCATGCCATGTGCACTAATGCACCCCCATACCATCATGGATGCTGGCTTTTGAACTGTGCATTGATAACAAGCAGGATGTCTCTCTCTTTGGCCTGGAGGACATGTGTTCATGATTTCCAAAAAGAATTTCAAATTTTGATTTGGACCACAGGACACTTTTTCACTTCACCTCAGTCCATCTTAAATGAGCTTGGACCCAGAGAAGGTGGCAGTGTTTCTGGATCCTCATTTATATAAAGTTTCTTCTTTGCGTGATAGAGTTTTAACTTGCATTTGTGGATACAGTGACGAGCAGTGTTCACAGACCATGGTTTTCAGAAGTGTTGCTGAGCCCATGCAATGATTTCTACTTGAGAATTATGTCTGTTTTTAATGCAGTGCTGCCTTAGGGCATACAGAGATTTTTCCAGATTCTCTGAATCTTTTAATGATCTTCTGTACTGTAGATGATGAGTTCTGTGCAATTTTACATTGAGAAAAGTTATCCTTCAATTGTTGCACTATTTGTCCACTCAGTCTTTCAGGGTGGTGAACCCCTCCCCATCTTTACTTCTGAAAGACTCAGCCTCTTTGAGATGCTCTTTTTTATACCCAATCATGTTACTGACCTTTTGCCAGTACACCTAATTAGTAGTGAGATGTTCCATCAGGTGTTTTTTTTTTTAGCATTATACAACTCCAGTGCCAATGTGTTGCTGGCGTCAAATTCAAAATGGGCATATATTTTTCAAAAAACAATAAAACTTATCAGTTTCAACATTTGATGTGTTGTCTTTGTACTATTTTCAGTTAAATGCAGCATTTCATTGATTTGCACATCATTGCATTCCCTTTATATTTACATTTTGCACAGCATCCCAACGTTTTTGGAAATAGGGTTGTAAGAAAACCTCTATTTGCCTGTTCCAACAAATGTGTTGTATTTTAAAATATTTACATATTCATTGTGAAAATGTCTTGAAGTATAACAATGTTATACTTTTGTCATATCACCCACCCCTACTATTCATGTAATTATTGAAAAAAAAAGCTTTAGGATGTAATTAGCCAGGGAATATAAGGCATTAAGACACATTAATGTGAGAATTTTGTTAAACATGGTTTAAAGAACTTGGCACAGAAGTCAGAGCTGTGAGACGCGTTATTTTTCACCTCTGTGTGTTCAAGCGACAATGTGCAGAAAGAACATGGACTCTTTCCTGAAATCAAGTGTTGTTAGCATCAAACTAGCAAGCTAATGTTAGTGATATGAGTGATAATTTTAACCTTCTCAAAACAGTGATACTTACGGTCAGTGTTGTAGTTTAACCGACTACTGTGTCAGCATGTTGACTGATCTAAAGCAAATCGCATTTAAAAGTAGCAACATGATTATTATTATTGACGGTGTGAGCAGCCATGTTGATTTGATGTAATAAGCTTTGCTCAGAGTTGAGAACACCATCACAACTTTCAGACAAGGAATTTCCAGTTGAGGGGACATTTTCTTTGTCTTCAGTCGAGCACATCATTGTTACAATTCAAATTACAATACTAGAGTTGGAATTTTGCTGGTTCCTCGTAACACATATAGCCTTTAAATGTTTGCATTATTTAGCATTTTGATCTGGAGACATATGTGTTGCTCACTTCTTTTGTCATTCTATGGATCTTTATAAAGCAGATTTCCAGACTTTTGATGAAAATAATTAGTCTACATAAACAGTTTGTGTATCATGGCGGTGCATCCATAATTTGTCTGATTTGGCGAAATAGCCGGACACGTTGGCTGAAATGGTTGCTCATGTTGGCACAGTGAGCAGTGTCCAGTTGAGGTAATGTCTGAGTCACTGTCAGGCGCCTTGGTCCATGTCCCCTGCTTAGTTTGTTTTTATTTTTAATGCCAAGCACTCTTAGCCAACACATTTGTAATGCAACATAAAAAATAGCATTTACAAGACTGTCTTCATATAATATTTTGATGGCACTCAAAGTTGGAATTTTATTTCTTGTATTACCGGGTATAACTGTATTATTTTCCTACGCCTAACTACATCTCCAGCTCCATTTTTTGAGCTGAACATAGTTCAATGATGGTCCGTCTATGAAGGGCAGTAAATCTACATATCTCGTAAATGGTTTTCTGGACTGAGGTAATTAATCAGTTTGGTCCATAGCGCTCTGTGTCAATTAAATTGTTCCCACCATTTTGTTCTGAGAAGCACAGCTCACTTGGCTATGGGGTGATGAATGAATGGAAACTCCACCAGCCTCTGCAGGCAATTAATGCATCTTTATTGGCCTACGTAAAATCATGATTTCAGTAAAAAGTGTTTGTTTTGCCGTTCCATTTATCTCATGACTTTAATGTCATTGTTCTGAGAAAGCACTCACAGTACTTGAGTAATAAAGTTTGGAATTGAATTGTTCCTAGTGTCATTATATACTTTTCCCTCCATTCATTTGGTTTTGTCTGTCTTCTCTTCCTCAGGAATGAAGGCTTGGTTTCTACTGGAGATGAACCACCCTTGGAAGATGCTCTTTCCATTACCACTTCTGCTGTACCTGTCAGGGTCTGTGAAGTCCCAAGTAAATCCAAGTAAGATTTTTTTTTTCTTCTACAGTATAAACTATAAATCTTTTGTGTTTTTGTATTCATGATACATTTTTGAACTTTTTGGGAAAACACTGTGCAAACCCATGGCCTTGATTAAATCAAATGTAGACTATGGTACCAACTTAAGGACAATAATGATGCCACTGATTAACCCTTGGAGTTTGCAGTTGTCAGTAGCAAAAGCATGGTGTAATTTCTTACTCGTAGAGTATCTCTCACTCAGAATCATTGAAATGAGCTGTCGCAATGCTGTCGAGAGAGTGGAGATTTTATCATGACCTCAGTTTGATGAAAAGTTATTGTTGTGCAAAGCTCCTTTAGCCAAGAGCTACAACCAAAACCAAAGTGGTGGTAGTTTTTTTTAAATGTTATTTATCACACCTTGTTGTAAGTGAAAGGTTATTTATAAATAATATATATTATACATGCTATACACTTTTGTTTTTTTTGTTTTTCTCTTTTGAAGACAGTTTTTGCTTTATTGGGGAAAATGGTGGCAAATTGGTGTCACAGATTTGAACAAAAGAGCAACATGGCTCTACTCAAACAACAAAAAAGCATAAAACAGCAAAATTGCATGTAAAAAATGATGATGACGAATTGAAAGATGAACTACAGATGAAATATTAGTTGACTAGAAGCCCCTATTAAAAATATTAGGTACGTAACGTTGTTAAAATAAAACCGATTTTAATGGGAAATCGTGCAGCTCTGGTTGCTTTTAATACTGCATAAGAGTGGTGCTTTGTATCAATGTCACTGTGTCTCCTTTTTCAGGCTTAAGTCTCAGTTGAGCTAGTTAAATCATTGTAATACAGATTATGCACATGTTCATGTGAAGTTAACTGAGTGGATTGATCATTTGTTTTTCACTGACAGTTTAATCAGTTTGAAAAACGTGGATATTCCTTATGGTGTACTATAACCCATAGCTTTCCGAATTGTTGTAGAGTGAAGCCGGCCACTTGCCCTGAATTGGGTTTGGAAGCCACTGAAGTTCTATTCTGAATTATATGTGAAACTTTCTGTGCAGCTTTGATCTGTGCCTTTCTACTCCAGCTCCTTCTCTCCAGCATGGGTGGTTTGTGGGGAGGAAAGTGTGATGTCAATGTGAGGTTCAATTATATTTTACAAGGAAACCAGAAGCTAGTGACATGGCAAGCTGGAGCTACACTAGGGGCAAAGGAAGGATACGAGCAGAACTTGAGCTGTTCAAAGGATCCTCAAGAATGAAAATCACACTCTACTGTTACAGTATATCAATATAAAAATTGTATCAGAAGGTATATTAGGTTATTTTTGCAGTTGGAGAAGGTTTAGAGGAGTAAGAGTGTGCCAGTGCAATGCACATGAAATGTGAAGTGTAGTTTAATGGGTGCTTTTACAGCTGTGTGTCATGTTGCTTTATGGTATTTGAAGGAGGATAAATGCACAGTTCTTCATACAGATTAACAGGAGAGTGTAATTGTTGCCTTGCTTGTCTAGCTACCAAGAGCTGTTTGGTGTGTTTCAAGGTAAAGAATGCAAAGAAATGAGGAAATTCTGTCCCCATGGGTGGTGGTCAAGGAGCTGAGGTTGTTTTAATGGCTTCATGGCTTTCCATGTTCGTGAAAAGCCTTGTACACAGCTGTTCCTCTGTAGCAGGATGCTATTTTCCCAGGCTACGGGTTTATTGACATATGGTGTACAACAAGCATTTTGGGTTAACATACTTTCAGAGAACGTTAGAGGACTTTGCAGTTTAATTCACAAAGCCAGGCTGAGTATCTGTATCTCAACTTGGAGCACTGCTAGCTTTTTTTTGATGACTGATCCCAGAGGTGTCTAAAGAATTCAAACAAAAGAACAAAAGAAAACAATCTTTCAGCTCTCTGTGGTTTTATGACTCTGTGTCATTTCGAGTCCATATCTTTCCAGTTGCTGTGCTCTAATTGTATTGCAAAAGCAGGCCCTGGATCCTGATGTACTCTTCTTTCCCACTGGAGTCCACGGTGGCTGCTGCAGGACCTATGGGGACACAGCCTGACAGACGCAGCCATCTTATTGTGTTCAGCCCTGCTTTGCATATGGATGAGGGCTTTATGCGGTAGCTCTAACTTTAGTTTGTATTAAATCCAGATTTTAATGTTAACATTATTCTCCCTTGACAGCTCAAACTGTCAAATCATCATTTAGCCAACCACTATAGATGTTTTCTATAAAGGAAGCTTTTGGAAGTACATTTTTGTTACTTAACTATTTGGATTTTTTTTAAAAGAAAGCAACATGTTCCCAGACTTCCAATGGGCAGCATATTGTTAGTGTCCTCATTGGGTATGTCAGTAAATAAAGTACATGAGCTCCTGCTTTGATTATTGTGAAATGCCTGACCTTGTGCTTGAATTACCACCCACTGTTAACTTTTTCCCAAATGTTACTTTTGAATGACTAATTTTGTCATGTTCATTAATCAAAAAGCTTTAACAAGTCAGAGCATAATTTGTTTCTAGAATCTAAATAAGCATTTCTTTCTTAAAATGAAGTTTGATGAGCAATATGTAACAGTTCATTCTAAATTTCTCTGCCAAGATATCGTCCTGGGTTGAGTCAACTATACAGATTTTTAATAACATCATATTTAGCATATGTTATAAAAAATTGTATCAGTAGATTTTATTATATTAGATTTGATGTGACTGCGAAGTTCAAAACTCAGAACACCATAGTGAACAAATATCATGGCTCATCTTTATCAATCCAAAAACTATAGTAAACAACAAAGGTGGAGATACAAGGTATGTGCTAGATATACCTATTTTCACTGTTGTGCAAAAACCTCCACTGTTGTTCTTCACTTTTTTGCATGATTTTTTAATCTCTGGTTACCTTTTGCTTTGTGTTAAAATTTAATGATGAGCGGACCAATAGATACTTGGAAAAAATCTTTTTCCTTTTTTACCATTTTGGAAATAAATGGTTTTGTTCTGACGGTGACAATATGTGTCTATCTTTCTATTTATTTATTTATTTTAATGTAAGAGTTGGTGTAATGGGTTATAGCACTTGCCTCTACTCAGCACACTGGGATTTGATTCCCTCCATAGGCAAGCACACCACCCTATACCAGTAAGTGTCCTTGGGCAAGAGGCCTAACACTACATTTGTCTACCTCTGTAACTGAGTAAAACTGCAAACTGCTCAGGAACAAAAACATCTACCAAATGCTGTAAATGTAAAAGAAGAAAAGTTGGTAGAACTCAAAGATTTTTGATTAGTTATCTTTCTTAGTGCAACAGACGTTTTAATCTTAATTAAATATGTATTTTAGTACTGACAACAGAATGTCATCCAGTATCACTAATTATTCATGGAAGTTCAAAAAAAGTCAAAAAGAAGAAGCTAGTGGAGAATAGTAGCAAGATTTCTTTGTGTATTTGTGCAAGCTCAGATTTTTACAGTTTGTGGAAATAACTGAATGCTGAACACTGGGCATTTGTACACTGAAGTAAGGCCCTCTTACGCAGCGCACAATGAGCGGTTTAGCTGGGATGTTCGGAAGGTTATGCATGAATAGAGAATGTGCTTCTGTTAGTGAGCGAGCTCACATGGAAAGTCAGTGCTGAAGTGTAAAAAGGTCAGGCTCCATCAGTCAGTACGTCAATCCATGTTTGGCGGCACCTAGAATCCTGGGCTCTATTAGAGGATTGTGACCTTGCCTCGAGTTTATTATTGATTGAAGCAAGAGAGCAAGCATGACTGTTTACAGTGGATTCAGCAATCAGGCTGGAGTCTGTGGCTACTGCATACCAGACATTTTGACAACAGGAAAGTACATTGAATCGGCTTCTCTTTCTTTAATTTTTCCAGAGGCTCTGTGCGTTTCCCAGATTTTTGTTGCCCAGTTTGTAAGCCACGGACGCTCGGGGTTTCTCACATTCAGAGCTGTAGTTGTAGAAGAAGAATAAAGAAAGTTCACCAGAGAAGTGACATTAGTGATAGAGATACAGTAACGTCGTCTGTGCTCAAAATAGAGTTGATTTTTCATCTTCTGCTCTCTGCTAGAACGGCAAATTTTCATCAGTTTTCCACTGTTTTAAAAACATACTTTTGATGTGAGGCAGATTCCAATATGCTGTAATCTCTAGTTGCTCCACCATATTTCCGCTGAAATTAAACTGAAAGGTTTTTTCCAGCAGCAGGAAAAGTGGCTTGCAGAATTTAGGAGCTATGAGATGCGCTCTAGTGCCAATTTTCCCCTGTTTAAAATTCCCAAGCGCTGTAGTTATACCATACTTCTCTTTTTTCCCCATTTTCCCTTTTGAGGAATAGAGCACTTTCCTTTTTTATAGTCTCATTGGTATACTGTAAAGGGCAAACATATGTATACAGCCCACTAACTGAAGTAGTTTAATTTTTATTTTATTGCTAATTTTGTATTTTTGTAGTTGTCTAATAGTGACAGTGACAGTATGGGTATATGATACACTAAATAAAATGTTACGTTAGTCCGTTAAAATTCCAGGTTTGTTATGTCCTCATGGTTATTATTCAGTAACTGAATGGTCTATCATGCGAACTGTCTAAGTTATTCTTGAGTTATAAAAATTTGGACCCAGCAATTTAAGGGGTTAAATAACAGCACACTGTTTTATTTATTGTTATATTGCTCATATATTTAAACACATTTTGTGTTAAAAGTGGCACAACATGTTTGGGGCTGCAACAAATATTTGATGATATTCAATAATCTTCGAGAGTTCAGTAATTAAAATATTAGAAAATGGAAAAGCCATTCAAAAAACTAACACATTTACCACTTTTATGAGCCCACACACTTTTGTGAGGAAACAAATGTTTGTTTATCAACCCAAATTCCAGTTGGATACAGTCACCAGCTCTGCACACTGGACTCTTTGGTGATTGGGATTTGGCACAGCCTGCAAGACACATTTCCTAACTATATGTACTCCTGTATACTCCTGAATGTTTCCTAATGCAGTGCA